TCTCTACGATGACACCTTTGTCCGTCATTTCCGACAGGTGTTAAAGAAGAAAGAGAAACAGACCACCTTGGTCATGTTTTTCAAGAAGCCAGCGGGCAAAAAACAAAGGATGGAACAAGAGAAGTTGACCCTGCAAGTTCCGGTAGCCTGTCCTGAATCTGACTCCGATTAAAAAACAAAAAAAAAGACCCGCTGCAATGTGTAAAAAGTCTGTATCTGTATGAATGTGTAAAGAAAGTGTTCTTCCACCTCCTCCTCACAACATCTGACTACCCGGCATAATTGGTGTCTGCTCCATTTTCCATTTTTTATGGTACAGTACGGTTATTTTATGCTGCGGAACGAATTATATGTTTTAACATGTATTTCTATGGGAAAATGTGTTTCGTATAACGTGCACCTGGAACGGATTAAGTACGTTGTACGAGGCACCACTGTATTTGATTTATTTATATGAGTGTAATTGTAATTTAAGATCATACAGAAAGCATATTGCTTTCTAATTTTCTTTTTGAAAAATATTCAATATTACAGATTTAGCAATTTTAAAGTTCAGTTTGAAGCTAGTAGAGTATTAGACAGGTTTTCAAAGGATGTCTATTAAAACCCCATTATCTAATAATAATCTTTTTTTAATTTTGATAATTTGCTCAATAATTTAATTCAAATTACCATAATAAATTGTATCCATATTTTGAAATTATTTAGAATTTTTGCAAGGTAGTAACGAGGTTGTGGCTGAAGTTTTCATCTCTAAAACGTGAATGTCGAATGCCACTTACAAAAATACAAGATAGCAACTTTCGATATTCACATTTTAGAGATGAAAACTTCAGCCACAACCTCATTACTATCAAAATTGAAAACTTTTAAATTTTCAGTACACATGAAATATGAAATCATATATTTTACAAGAAAAATTACTCTATTATTATTGTTATAGTTGAAATAGATGTTTGTTAGAATGTTTTCATTGTTCTACACATAAAAACATCATAATTTCAATAATATATTAAATCATTATTCTTGTTTCTTAACAGCATACTTGTATGAAATATCCTTTTAATAGTGATCAGATCAATATTTATTCAAAATTTCCAAATTATGTAACAATAATAATTTTTTCTTATATACAAATAGAATGCTCATGAAAATACTTTTTATATATATTTGGTATAATTTTAGTTATATACTTTATGGCACCAAATTCATTCGTTACAAAACTGTTCCATAGATTTTATGTAATATTATTTTATTGATATATGATAAAAAATCTATGCAATCTAATTTATAAATATTATTTTTATATTTTAATATTAATTTGTTAAAATAATATGGAAATGATTAAAAATGTATTTTTTAATTTAAAAATAAATTTTTACAAATAGTTAATTTGATATTATCTATCTATCTTCTTCTCAGCAATATAAGTTACTTATACTAATAAACACATCTGATTACATTCATCGTTCAAATGGTTCCATTAGAACGATGAATGTAAAAGCCTGAAGGTGGCCTATCCGAATAGGCTGAAAACATTTGGAATAAAGAAAAAAACTCGGCAAATATAATCAGGTGTGTTTATTAGTATAAGTAATTTGATATTATTATTACAAAAAACAACACTGTACAAGCAAACTGGAATTATACATACAAAGAATCACATCTAAATGCAAAATTTCTAGCACAGTTATTTCGTTTTATATTTCCTGAAGAGGACCAATAAACTAGTGATTGAAAATGTTCGAATACTGAATTTGGGTGTTTCTTTGCTGGAAATTTTGCATTTAGATGTGATTCTCTGCATGATATTATTATTATTTTGTTAATTAGTAAAAAGTATTATATAAAGTAATATACTATATAATACATGTTTTATTTTAAAGAATATAATTTTAATTTAATTCTAATTTAGTTCACAAACTCAGCTTTTACTACATTGATATTTTTATTTTTTCTTATATTTTTGTAATAATAATTTATTTTTTAAACAGAATCCACTTCTGAGCAGAATCAACAAGACAGTCATAATGATCAAAATGTAAAGTACTTCAATATTATTTTACACTAATTTTTAAGTTTTTTTTTGTTATTTAAAGCATTTAAATATTGGTTATAAATATAAAGGTTTTTTTTATTCTTTGGATTGAATTTATTAGGAAATGTGTGTGTATGATATGTATGTATATATATATATAATTTAAATAAAGTGTATACTTATTACTTTAAGGATGAACCATCTAAAAAAAGAAATGTTCCTGAAAAAACTAAATCTAGTACATTATCTAGAAATATGCAGCCAGAATCATCTGACAAACAGAATCATAAGGTAAATATGCTAATTCAGTTGTATTTTTACATCATAATACATTGTTAATTATAAAGTTGACTTTGTTTTAGATTGAATATTTAATTAAATAGTATAGAACGACGGTGGTCAAACTGCATATTGTGCAGCTTTTCATAAATTTCATACATAGTAGTTATGCATATGTAATATTTTTGTAAGTTTGCTATTATGTAGGGTGATAACACATGGATTTTGAGAGTAACTCCCAACTTAACCTTGAACATACAACTGAAAGCTAAGAATACATTCATAAAGTCAAAGCAGTTAATCCAAATAGATATTTCAGAGGATATTAGAATGGGTGAGGTGGTGGATGTTGTCCTAATATAGTCAAAGACACAACAGTCATTATATATTGGAACATAAGATATGCTTTTTGTGGAGCTTAGCACTTTTTTGTTAATTCAGAAATATTAGATTTTATTTTTACCATTTTGTCTCATTGCCCATTCAAATCTATTTCAATTGAATGTGTATAAAAAAGACCCTTCCATACAAAAAGCAAGAGAGTACTTTTTCTCTGTCTCCAAGTTTGGCTGCTGATGTCTAACTTTTAAAATTTGTGCCACACCTGGACTTTGGCAGTGACCACACTGGTTGGGAAATACTTTTCTAAACTTTTATATCATAAATTTTTTCATTATAATTTTGTTAATAATTTCATAAATGTAGTAAGCATAAATTAATTAATACTAGATGATACATTTGATATTAGAACTATTATTATGTTAAATGCGAAAAACAAAATATCAAATTGTTTTCCTTTTATATAGGGGAACCCAGGGCGGAACGGGGTAGCAAATGAAGAAGTTAAAATTATGTCAACAATAAAAGAAAAATAACAAAAATATTACATTATATCCTTTATTTATTATATTTGACAAACAATTATTTAAATTACATTTTAAAAAATCAATAATTTTGAATGAAAAATAAATCATTACAAAAAAAGCTTGCCCACATCCCATTCTGCCCTGCACTCGAGGCAGAGTGGGTATGAGATTAGTGCTCAAATATTAGAAAAAAATATTAGTCTTGTTGCTTACAAAACTCGCAAACCAGCACTGAATTGTCATCGTCACTGTCAAAACCCACACAAGACATATGAGCCCATTTTTTGCATGCAACACATGAACATTAACCCTCAATCAACTGTGAGTAAACCTCAGTACAGTAAAGGCAAGTTGTATCATCATCTCTTTCCAAGTAATCGTCCCATTGTGCCCCACTTGTTGTGCCCCAAAGCACATGCTTTTAAAAATCAAGTAGAGAAAAAGTATATGATTACTTTTTGTGTTATTTCATTCTAAAAATACAAACAAACAAATCTTTAGTATAAGTTCACAATGTTCAATGTTGACTCAGGACATTCTTCAATATTTTAATTCTTGAAGTTAGACTATTTACAAAAATATATTAAATGTTAATATATTTTTGTAAATAGTCTAACTTCAAGAATATATTTTGTAAATATTGTAGGATCTGACGTTTTTAATGTTAAAAACGTCAGATCCTACAATAAAAGGCTGGCGTTTGATCATTTTTAATTGTGAATTTTTACCTTTTATTATTTGTCTTTTAAAGAAGTTTTATCTTCTAACCAATGTAACTGTGTCTTCTGTGGTTTGTGTAAAAGGATTTAATGATAGACTTGAAAATGTTAATATATTTTTGTAAATAGTCTAACTTCAAGAAAAAAAAAAGAAATCTTTAGTAAACTAGACTATATAAATTTGGTTAAATTATAAAATATACCATATACTTTCATTGTTTTAATGTTGATACACTTGTAATTTCATCAAAAAATCACAATGCAGTGTTTTATTGGTCAACAACAAAGCGAATCTCGGTAACCAAGTATTCACACTGACATGGTTGTCACAGTCTGAGTATAGGACAGGGAGCAAACCAATTAATTCCCTCACCTCTCTTCCATATGTAAATTCCCATTCTGCCCTGGGTTCCCCTATTGATAGTATAATAGCAGGTTTATCAACACGTGGTATAAGTATAATCAAATAAAAACAATTTCAGTTATTTGCATATATAGTAAATGTTAGGATAATTTGATTGATAATTTTTTTCTTATACAATCTCTTTTATACACCCAATTCTCTTTTTATGTGATTTGCTTTGATCTAATATGTTTCAATAAAATTGACATTTTAAAAATATTTATTTTGTTTTAGAATTAAAATCAAACATTCAAACTTCCTTTATTATATGAATATGGGAGCTGGAAAAAGTAACATACTAAAACTACATCTTTCACACACTTCCAACATGGAAAGTTTATCATCACAAATGTTTTCAGTTTTTTCCAGAGGCCTGTCTCAGGTTAAAATTGCTGTTTTTTGAATGCTGGCTGAGAATTTTAATTTTGGAATGTTCTATTCATTTCATTTTACAGACATCATATCAGTTTTGAATGATTTAAAACATTTTTTCATAAACTGACATGGTTACCAAATGATATAAATATCAAAATATTCAAATAATAATAAATAAAAATAAATGTTTAACAAAAAGATCACAAAGTGATTTATATTAAATAAAAATAGTAATCAACTGGGGATCTAATTAATTATTATTACACTTAAGGATGTTATAAACAAATGTCTACCATGCATCAGATTCCTTACTATTAATGTGAATCTTAAAGGAAGTAAAATAAAATAACTTACTGGAATATAAATGTCTTAAAATAATCAAACACCTTAGTATTTCCAGCAACAAAGTATTTAATACTTTGTTGCTGGTTATCTTCAGTTAAAACAAAAACGAACGTAAAATAGAATGCAAGCAATACAACGGTTTAAAAATTTGAAATTAATTACAACAAAATAAAAATAAAATAAAACGTAAAAACAAAATTAAATTACAATAAAATATTAAGAAAATTAATCGGTGTGGTAAAGAATTAAATTAAGTATTAAGAAAATTAATCGTCGTGATAAAAAGATTTCCATGCGCAGGATAGACTTTCTGCATCTCTATGGTTGATGCATCCTTTGTCAATATGGGCCTTGTAAATTTCAAGTTTTTCAATATGTTTAAGTACTTGTTTGTTGGTGGCGGTCCTAATTATGGATGCTTTGTCCCAATGTACATTAATATCTTGATGTTTAGCGAAGGCTGCAAGGATGGTGCTGTCCACGTTTTTAGTAATAGAATACTTATGTTCTTTAAGCCTCTGTTTTAAAAGTCTCATAGTGGCACCAACGTAAACGAGATCTGAATTAAAACAGTGGTCACTTAAAGAGATAGAATACACTCA